GTATATTATGGACTGTAACAAAGTGAACAATGTGAAATATTTACCCTTGGTGCAGGGGTGCCCAAACATTTTCCTTGGGAGGGCCAAAATGTAAATCGATCTGAAGGCTGCGGGCCAAATGCAATAATATAATAAATGAAATGCAAATACTTTTTAAGTAAAGTTGTTTTATTTTTCGTGATTAAGATAGCAGTCAATATGGTGGCCCACATTTTTTTGTTTGTTACTTTTTTGTTAGCCAATGGACATGCAGAAAATTTGACGTACACTCGAGCACCAAAGGCTCATGAGGCTTTTCATAAATTAAAATTTGTGTATTTGTGGTCTTAGTATGCAAATCTAGATATGTGCTTAAATCTAATCTGAATGTCTCTTGTAGTTACTTGCATGTTTAATTTTAATATAATAATGTAAGTTAAGACTGTCAGCACTACAGCTATACAATGGACAATAGTTGGAATGACTAAGAGGAAATAGTGTTTCTACATTAAACAGGTGAATACATCCTAGTAGCCAGGATAACTGCTGGTTGGCCAAACCAAATGGCTTGGCGGGCCAATTTTGGCCCACAGGCCCCACTTTGGGCTCCTCTGCCTTAGTGTTTTGATATTGTTGCATCTTTCCTATTATAAAAGGAGCAATGTTTCATAGTTGTCTTATTTTGCTGAGCAATCATTTTTAAATATTATGTAAACCTGCACAACTATGAACAAACTGGCACAAAATGTGAACTTAAACTCACAGTTATAATTGTAACTGTTTCAGTAACATTAATCCAATCAAACAAATGAGTCTATTCCTGCAGTGCACCACTATATTTAGTTTATATTTATTAAAAGATCCCACAGTTTAATGTGCAAATGTTGGCGATAATTTGTCGTCTTTAAAGAAGCCTCAGCTCTGACTGTCACTCAATGCTGACAGGAGGTCTCCCCACACACTCAGCCCTCGGACATCAAAGTCTCCATCAGAGATCTTTAAAGCGTTTAGCTCATCTTCTGTTTTGCTCTTCACAGCGGGACAGGCCTCAAACAATACCCTAAAGAGCTCAGTCAGTTTCTGAAAAGACACTGTGGGGGTCGTACTGTGAACCCATTCACCATCACTTATTCTGTACTCCATCTCTGACGCCCACTGCTTCAGCGTCTTGCAGAAAGCAGCTCGAAATATTTGGTGCCTTTTTACCAGTTCTTTAAGAAGTGCAGGAGGCAGCACAGAACACATGCGCTGCAGCACGGCGTGTTGACGCTGCAGCCAGTCCGACAGAAAGTCCTGCGAGGCACTTTGTTCAGTCGAGTCTTTCCTCGTCAGCAGAGCCGCAGCGATGACTAGACACAAACGATGTGCTGCTCCTTCAAACACCTGGAGGACAGAGCATAAAACGTCCTCTGCCCCGTGAAGGTCGGTGCCCAGCCTCTCCATCAACATCTCCCCCTGCACCTCAGCATCAGCACCAACTGCTGACAGACCACCGAGTGGACGCAGGACTTTACAAATCGATTTGCACTGAATGATGTGGCTGCAGAGGCCAGGTGCATCTTCATAGTCACTGCTCAAGATGTTACCAGGTCTCTGAGCTTTAAAAAGTACCTTCATGATGGAGATGGGCAGTTCAGGGTTGTTCAGCAGCCCAACCAGCAGCAAGTGCTGGCAGTGTGAGAGGTCCGAGAAATAAACTTCTGAGCATCCAGGAAAGACTTTTCTCAAGCTTTGATTTGTGAGCAGCAGCTGTTCCTCCAGAACTCTTCTTATAGCGGGGTTATTGTGGAATCTGGAGTGGATGTGCTCGCAGTACTTGGCCCAGTGAAAAGCTCTGGACAGAGTTTGTTCATCCCATCGGTCCAGCACACCGCTGCTGTGAGCCGCCACGGCTAGCAGCTCCACCGTGACCGACAGGTTTTTTAGCACCGCCTCCATGATGTGGCGCTCTCCGCATTCAGAGTCCAGCCACTGGGCTTCGGAGAAGAGCACCAGCTGAGGAAAAACACACATAACCAAGACATTAACACAAACTGCCCCCTAACTTACGAGTAAAACCCGCTAACTCCAACTAAAACACTGATTAGCTTCGGGTTATCCAGTCAAATACGCAGTTAGTGACGGTAAACAAAACTTCCGGTGGACCATTTTAAAACAAATTACATTTTAGAAGGTCGTAGATTATGATTACTGTAAACCATTAATTGTGGCACAGGTACACTGTCATGAATTAAGTTTCTATTGATGATAACTCACTTGTATTTTCAGTTTTCTTCCAGCCGGTGTTCCGGTTGCGTTACTGCGCATGCGCAATCATCACCTCCCAAGTTTTCACCCTTCAAAATAAAAGTCACGTATTGCCGCAAAACTGACTTTCAGATTTGACCTTATTGTAAAATAAATAAATAAATAAATAAATAAATAAATAAATAAATAAATAAATAAATAAATAAATAAATAAATAAATAAATAAATAAATAAATAAATAAATAAATAAATAAATAAATAAATCTTATGGCTATGGTTTTAGTGGTTTATGGATTTTCTGGTAGGCTTAAGGATGTTGGTGGATCGCAAATATGGAAGTCCATTCCTCCCACTATTATTAAAAAAATAAGATTTCTTAAAACAATAACTTTGCACATTCATGGGATATTACATTACAATTATGACTAAGCATTTCATGATTAGCATATCAAAATAATGATTTAGCATGTCATGATCTGTGTTTATTTTGTAGTTATTTATGTTCGATATTTTTTCCTCTCTTTTTGATATTGTGTTTTATATTTTTGCAATTTGTGATTCTTGTGTTTAGTCCTGTTCTTTTCTGTGTTTCTCCTAAGTCAGTCTCTGCTCCCCATTCATGTCACACTCACCTACACCTGTTTTCACTTTTCATTTGTCATTTTACCCAGGTGTCTCCACTCCACTCATGAGCCCCTGAGTTGTCATTTATTTGTAACGGACATGTTTGGTTCTGCTTGTGACTTTTCAACATAGTTTTAGTTTAATGACGTTAAATTTGTTTAGCTCTTTGTACCAGTCTGCATTCTTGGGTCCAAACTCCTACACATATATGACAGTAGCCAAATTTCTCAAAATTTTCTAATTAACATTTCAGGTTTCTCCGCTTCAACACGGCTGATTTGCAGAGAAATAATTAAAACATGCAGGATAATGGCTCACGTCTCAGGGACCAGAATTGGAACATCTCAAATCTATAGAATCAGATTTTTTAATATATATTTTCTTCAGAGTGGCAGGAACGAGTTTCCATACAAGAGAAAGGAAAATCAAGTCCTGAGTTTTTAACAATTCTCTGCGCACAACATGAAACAGGTCCATGTTGGTCGTTTTCTTTTATGGGCTGCCAAATTCATAGTATTTATTTTATATGGAGACAACAGGAGGTGGGAGGGACAGCATGCAGGGTGAAACTTCCCTCCCATCATCTTCCTCAGCAGCAGCAGCAGCAGCAGCAGCAGCAGCAGCAGCGTGCTGTGTGTGTGTGTGTGGGTGTGTGTGTGTGTGGGTGTGTGTGTGTGTGGGTGTGTGTACAGTCAAATCTCTGAGCAATGCGCGCTAAGAAAGACCTCCCTGGTCCACATTAGTTCAGTGTTTTGGAGCCTGACCTGCGTCTCGGTGGACCTCCTGAGAGAAGCATGAGAACTTGGACTCAGCAGCTCACAGGACGAATGAGCTGAACCTCCTCAGGGTGAGACTCAACTTGTTCTGTTTTTTTGCTTTTTCTTTTTAAAAAGTTTTGTTCAGAATAAAAGCACAACCTAAGTTAATTTAAAAGTTAAGGTGGGATTATTTGACAGTTAGTTTTATAATTTTTCTCTCTCTATTTGTCTTTTATCTGTAAAGCTTTATGTTTAATTGCAGAGAAAATGACATATTTTCTCCTCAGCTCTCTTAATTAGTTGGACATCAGACATTAGGCTTCACCCTTGGTCCTCTCACCAGTCTGGCAAATTGTCTGTTGTGGCTTTGTTTTTATTTGTGAAGGTTGTAAAGAAGGAGACATAAATCTTATTGTTGTTTTGATTTTTTTTTACTTGCATTGTGGAGGAAATTAAAATAAAAGTTGAATTTTTTTTTATGTATGCCTAAGACAACTTATTTATAGTAAAATTATACTACACCTCAATATAGCAGAAAATAAGTGGTATGAAATGTGTGATTTGAAATTGTAGATATGTAAACAGTTCCCTCCTTTCCACCATAAAGATGCTGGACAGTAGTGAGCAGCTGCAGCAGCTGATAGAGTCTGCAGAGTATTCTCACACAGCAGAGTTTCTTCTTTCACGTGAGTAAATCTCCGTCAGGAGAGGTTTTAGTTCTATTGCAGGAAGGCAGAGAGGTTTAACTGGACAGAGACGCTTTTGTGTTTTCTAATTGATGGGATTCGGCAATAAAAAATGACCTTCCTTATGCTTCGCTGCAGCACAGCTCTGCAGAAGTCATGGGGATTCCCACACTCTGAGAAGTGTAAATGTTTTTATACATTTGAAAATCTTTGGCCCAGAAAAGGAAACGGACCCCTTTCCAAGACGTCAACCCCCATTTAGACCTTATTTCTGCAATCAGCGAGCACGAGTCCAGCAGTTGAAACATGCTGTTTAACATGGAGGTGTGTGGGAGGCTGGGTTGAAGAGGTCAACCTGCAGTGTGGTGAGAGGACAAAGATATGTTATAGTTTCCTTTAGCCCCTCTCTCTCGGGGAGGAAAGGGGCAAATCTGGCAGGATGTTAAAAATAAATATATGGAAAATTTTCTCTGATCAGAAAAGTTAAAGAATGCATTTTGGTGGCAACTGTGCATGATATAGCTTTAATTAGGCTCATCTTGTGATAAAAATAATGCAGATGTTTTGGTCAAACTTTGTAAATAACATTTTTTCATTATCTTGTGATAATGTGAGATCTTTTGAAATGTGTTCCTACTGAGAATGACTCCCAGCTATCACAAGATCAAACTTTAGACAAAATCCTGTCAAATTGGCTGAATTATTGTAATTTTTGTCTTTGCTAAGGTTATTTGGTTGTGGAAGCCATCTTTAATAATGTTGACTCCTAAAGTTTATCAGCTATAGATGTCCACTGATCCACAATAATCCATTGACGTTATGGAGGTTTCTTTAAAAATTCCCGTCAGTTTATATATATATATA